GAAAAAATCCATTTTATGGTTGAAGAGGGTATAGTGTTGGGTCACAAAATTTCAAAACGAGGGATTGAAGTTGATAAAGCCAAGATAGAGGTGATTTCAAGGCTTCCTCCGCCCATTTCTGTCAAAGGGGTGAGGAGTTTTCTTGGGCACGCGGGTTTTTACCGGAGGTTTATAAAAGATTTTTCAAAAGTGGTACACCTCTTGTGCAAGTTGCTAGAATAGGATGCAAAGTTTGTGTTCGATGAGGTATGTATGCAAGCATTCGAGATTCTCAAGATTAAGTTGACCACTACCCGGATCATTACCGCACCAAATTGGAGCTTGCCTTTCGAGCACATGTGTGACGTAAGTGACGTTGCGGTTGGGGTTGTTTTGGGTCAAAGGGTTAACAAGATGTTTCATCCGGTGTACTATGCAATCAAGACCATGAATGAGGCTCAACTATACAGTCACCGAGAAAGAGTTGTTGGCTATAGTATTTGCAATGGAAAAGTTTCGGCCGTATCTTATGGGGGCCAAAGTTATAGTGCACATTGATCATGCCGCCCTTAGGTATTTGATGACAAAGAAAGATTTCAAGGAAAGATTGATGAGATGGGTGTTACTATTTTAAGAGTATGATCTAGAAATTGTGGACCGGAAAGGTAGTGAGAATCAAGTGGCAGACCACTTGTCCCGTTTGGAGGAGGAGGGGAGGCCTTGTGATGGCCTTGAGATCAATGATTCATTTCCCGACGAACAACTCCTTGCGGTGTCAATGAATGATATGCCATGGTTTGTTGATGTTTCCTATTACCTTGTGATAGGAGTAATCCCGTGTGAGCTCTCTTCTAACCAAAGGAAGAAGCTCAAACGGGATAGTTTGGATTTCTATTGGGATGAGCCATACTTGTTCAAGATTTGCACGGATGGGGTGATCATAGATGTGTCCCAGAGGAAGAACAATTGAGTATCTTAGAGGCTTGCCATTCTTCACCCTTGGTGGCCATCATGGTGGGGTGAGGACCGCCTCGAAAGTTCTTAGTTGTGGATTCTATTGGCCCACCTTGTTCAAAGATGCGGGTGATTTTGTGAAGAGGTGTGACGATTGCCAAAGAGCGGGCGAAATTTCAAAAAGGGATGAGATGCCTCTCAGTACCATTCTTGAAGTGGATATCTTTGATGTTTGGGGCATCGATTTCATGGGTCCATTTGTTAGCTCTTATGGGAATACTTACATTCTAGTGGCGGTTGACTATGTCTCAAAATAGGTTGAAGCCGTGGCTTTGCCGAACAATAAAGCCCAGAGTGTTGTTGCATTTCTTAAAAAGAGCATCTTCACAAGGTTTGGCACTCCTCGTGCGATTATTTGCGATGGGGGGTCTCACTTTTGCAATAAAGCTTTTTACACGTTGCTTTCCAAGTACGGTGTCAATCATAAGGTTTCGACCCCATATCATCCTCAAGCTAGTGGTCAAGTGGAAGTCTCCAACAGAGAAATCAAAAGTATCTTGTCAAAGACGGTCAATGCAAATAGGACGGATTGGTCGAAGAAGTTGGACGACGCTCTATGGGCATATCGGACAGCTTACAAAACTTCGATTGGGATGTATCTGTATCAGTTGGTGTTTGGGAAAGCATTCCATCTTCCGGTTGAGTTAGAGCACAAGACCATGTGGGCTTTGAGGAAGTTGGACCTTGAATGGGATGTTGCAGCTAATCTTCGTGTTGAACAACTCAATGAACTCGATGAATTTAGATTCCATGCCTACTCCAGTTCGTCCTTGTATAAGGACAAGATGAAGTACCTTCATGACAAATATACTCGTGGAAAGGAGTTCAATGTAGGTGATTTTGTTCTCTTGTTCAACTCCCGGTTATGTCTGTTTCTGGGAAAGCTCAAATCCAAATGGAGTGGACCGTTTGAAGTTGTGTTTGTGACCCCTTTTGGTGCTCTTGATTTGAGAAACAAAATTGGTGAAGTCTTCAGAGTTAATGGGCATCGGGTCAAGCATTATCTTGGAAAGTTTGATGACAGCCACGTGGTAGCGCTCCTTCATTTCAAATGATGTGATGGTAACATGCGTCGTGTCGCGACGTTAAATCAGGCGCTTCTTGGGAGGCAACCCATGTCTTTTTCTTCTTGTTTTCTTTGAATTTCTTTGTAATGTATGATTGATTTTTGTGCTAATTGGTTGTGAGATGTTGCAGGGTTATGTTGATGCAGTGTAAGACATGATGGAAAAATTGAACAAGTCTCTGATGTTGCCAGTGCGGCCGCACTACACTTTGTGCGGACCGCACTGGTGTGAGCCAATGTAAGGACTCTCTGAAGTTTGTCACCGCAGCCGCATTACATTTTGTGCGGACCGCGGTGGACCTCTGCGGCTGCGGTCTGTTTTTTGCGGACCGCAGAGGTTGCCTTCTCAAACTTCTTCTAAACAAAGCCAGCGCGGACCAGCGGTCCATTTTGTGCTGCCGTACTGGTAGGTGAGAATGGGTCCCAGCGGCCATTCTATAAATAGAACCCAGGGACCCCCGTTTACAATTTTCGCATTTTTAACTCTCAGAGACCTAAAGCCTTGTTCATCTTTTTTTCCTTTGATCATACCTGTGTATTTGCATTGCCTTAATTCATACAATTTCAATACCTGGTAACATTTCACCCAACTCTTTTTAGTTTAATTGTTTAATTTCATTTTAGCTTTATTTCTATTAGCTGGTAGTTTCTCCTCTCGTATTTCTTCAGTTTTTAGGTTAGTTCAATTAAAATGATGATTCTGATGAACTTCTTGAGTATAATGTAGTGGGTAAACTGAGTAGGGACCCTAACTAGGTGTAAATTTGAACTAAGTAGCTATATTTCTAACCCTAACTCAGTGCCATAACTGGGCACCCTTCGCGGACTGCGGTCAAGTTTGTGCGTTCCGTGGTGCCCTAGTGCGGTCTGCATTACCACTTTGTGCGGACCGCGGCGATGAACCTATGCAAGGTGACCTTAAGCCCAGTGCGGCCGCACTACATTTTGGGCGATCCGCACTGGCCCACCGCGGCCGCAATACTACTTTGTGCGGTCCGCGGTGGTCAGATTCAGAGGGGGGTATTCTGAGTCCCACCCCTGTGCAGACCACAATTGTTTCTGTGTGGTCCGCGGTGGTCTCAGTGCGGTCGCACTCCTTTTTGTGCGGTCCGCACAGGCCATGTTCTGCAACTATTTCTGCAATTGTGTTATTCTGTTATGCAATTCTTACTACACTAATGTCTCACCGTCTCTGCCGATACTAACAAAGTTAGATGCTTGTTCTTGCAGACAATGGTTACTCAAAGAGGAAGAGGCTCAAAATAACCCGGGAGAGGTGAATCCTCCCGGAGAGGCAAGGGCAAGAAGATGATCTGACGCAATCCCCAAGTGAGAGAAAGTATTAAAAAAATGTGGAAAACAATTTAAGTTGCTGATAGAGCTTGTGACCAGTCGGGGAGTGAGTACATGCCTTCCCAGGATATTTCCTCTGATTCTATGCCCGAATATGTCCCTAACTGGCCCGGGAGAATGAGATTGACTGATGATACTCCTCCACCCACACCCACTGCCCAAGAAGCAGATGATGTCTCCACGGAGTCATCTAAGGGCTCAGCAACCAGCAGTGGTGAGTAATCCACCTCCCCCACAGCTTCATTATCCGGGGAGAGTGCAGGTGGAGGTGATGAGGGAGATGAGGAGGTACTTGAGGGGGGTGAGCCTCAAGTTGGGGGGATTGCCCGTACTAGGAAACCCGAAGTGTGGGAAGACAGGTTTATAAGGCAAGTAGCATACCACAAATTCAGGGAGTGGTGGCCAGTGCGAAAACTGATTTTGGATAGGAGTTTCGTAGATAGAAATCTTCTACCCCTAAACTCCGATATGCATAGACAGTTTATAACAAGAGTGGGGTGGGAGAACTTTATAGATGACTGCGGGAAGTCAAATGAATACTTGGTCAAGGAGTTTTACTGTAATATGGCCCACATCGTCAAGGGCTCTAAAGTGACTAAGGTTCGAAACAAAAAGGTGTTATTCGACGGGAAGTCTCTGAATGAATATTTGGGCTTCAATGAGGAAGATGAGTCTCTCTATATGGCAAAGCTGGAGATGGGCGAGGAGGTCCGTACATGGTTAGCTCAGTACTTGGAAATCCCAGGTACCGTTTCGGAGTGGTTGACTGTTGGGGTCAAAATATTACGGAGGACCCTAAACTTTGAAGCTAGGGGTTGGGAGACGTTTGTGTGCAGCCGATTAGACCCAACTTCCCATGATCAGACTCTACCTCTCCACCGGGATGTCCTAGTTGCTTCCATCATGGCAGGGTATCCCATCAATGTGGGGAATGTGATGTCCCGCATCATCTCGATTGTGGGTACTGAGACTGACAGGAACTACACTTTCCCCAACACTCTGACCATGTACTTCAGAGATTTGAAGGTAGAAAAGAGGCGGTTTGACATCAAGGTCAAGGCTACAGCTCCATTCTCATGGTATAGCTTGAGGGGACCAGACAACCCCAAGCACAAGAGCTACAAGGCACCCGCTTCCGCGCCAACTGGCCAGTCTGAAGAGCCAGTTGTGGTAAAGGCCCCCATTGAGCCTGCCTCTACCTCTACTAAGATGCCTCCCGGACCCTCCACTCTAACGTACGAAATGCGGGATGTAACATCTTTCCCCCCAGAAACATTCGTCCTTGAATGTTTAAACTTGCAAGATATACATATATACTCATCAATTATAAATGTATATATCTTCCCGGGCAGCCTCTCACGGGGTCAGACGTCGTCCCTCCATAAAACTATTTCCTAATCCATTCGTCACCTACGATTCTGTTTATCTATCTTCTAGTCGTTATCACCTACTAGTTGTAATCTTAATAATCGGGTTCATACTTTGCTTTAAAGCTAGCCTTGGTTTTCCTTAACCCTTCAGACGTAATGCTAAATCAATCTTATATTAATCATATTAACTGGACAATCTGCGTTGATAAGATCGAACATTACCCATAGTAACCGTACCTGACATCATTTGGTGTAGCCTCTGGGTCCTGATGACCTGCCAAAGCATATATGCGGTTCTGACTACCGCCGGAGCTAGATGCTCTACTCCTACCTCTACCTCTACCAGCTGATGCTTGCGGGCCTCGCTCTTGAGGGCGTACTAAGGAGGAGGAGACTGTTATAGATCTGGTAGGTTGAACCATCCCGCTTCTACCATTTATAGGACAATCCCTCATGTAATGACTAGGGTCTCCGCAGGTATAGCATACATTAGACCCCTAATGACATTGTCCAGAATGAGCTCTACCGCATTGACTGCACCGCGGAGAGGGCGCCCTTATTTGCAGTGAATCTCTCTGATTCTGAAAACCCGAAATTCTCAAGCCCTGACCTGACTCAGAATAGACAGATCCTTCATAATACAGCTTCTGCAACTGTCAGACACTTTCAACAGGGTATGGTGACATAGGATCGCACAGAAAATCCTCAGGTCGCCTAGCAGACCTAGCGTTCTTACGCTGACCCCATCTGGATTCTCATATTGTTTTCGTTTCCGATCCTCTAAATTCTGAGCATAAGCCTGGATGCGGGAAATATCCATACCATCGAGCAGAACGGCCATGAAGCATTCATTAATTAGGTGCGGCCCAAGTCTTACCACAAACCGGTGCACTCGGTCACTCATTTCAGCCACAATCGAGGGGGCATACCTCGCCAAGGAATCAAACTGGAGGCTATACTCCCGCACACTCATATCCCCTTGTTTAAGTGTCAGGAACCTATCTACCCTTGCCTGACGAATCTCTGCCGGCAAGTAATGACACAAGAAAGCCCCTGAGAACTCTTCCCATACCGCTGGAGATGCATTTGTCCCTTTAGATAATTCCCAAATTTCCTACCACTGAACCGCAACTTCCCGCAATCAGTAAGAGGCCAACTCTACTGACTCAAGGTCTGATGTGTGCATCACCCTCAAAGTCCTCTGCATCCTATCAATAAAGTCTTGCGGGTCTGCATCCTTGTTGGACCCGGTAAACACTGGAGGGTCCAGGTTGATGAAGTCTCTAACTCTCGCGCTAATGACCTTGTTAACGTGACCAACACTTGTACCTACCTGGCGCTGAGCCTGAGCGGCTACCAATCTAGTCAACAACTGTACTGCACTCCGCATAGCCATATCTTCATCCTGAACAATAGGTGGAGGTACTGGGTTCCTCCTCATCTCCTCGTGTGCTGACAAAATCGGAGAATAATGCGAGGGTGTCGTATTTCCCCTCGGGGCCTCACTCTGGCCCTAATTAGACATTGGTACTCTACGCATGCCCTCATCTGCCACTACTTTACCCTTCTGACTAGCCGTAGCATTCCTGGTCATAGGCATTGTTGCATATATAAAACAAGTCAAAGGTGAAGGGCTTTATTCCCTATGACTCTTCTCTGTTGCACGGTCTAATATCAAGAAGAAAGGGTAACCGGTTCCTAAATGCACTGTATTTTCTTACTTATACAACGTGGTGCACAACACATTTATAAACAAGACTCTACTAGACACGGCTTGCAGACAACCCTAGCACAGATTTGCTCTGATACCACTTTGTCACGACCCAAATCAGATGGCCACGACGGGCACCAGGTGCCTACTTAACCGAGCGCCACGTACCTTATCTTTTTTTTTCCTATAATACTCGTCACGGCTATGATAGACCACATATTTATATATATATACATATATATATATATANATAGGGGCCGACAAGGCCGTTGACATGTCATACCTAAAGCTATACACAAGACACTATTTGCAAAACCTCTAAGAAAACATGACCATAACATATAAGTCGGGACAGGGTTCCTAACATCCTTATAAAACAAAGTAACATACATAGAACGTGACTCGACAATACTCCAGGAAGATGTGAAGTTCACCAACCAAAAGTTGAGATCTGGAGGTAGCCTACAGTAGATGGTCCTCACCTCGCCTATCTACACCTGTGTGGCATGAAACACAGCGTCCTCGCGCAAAAGGGACATCAGTACAAAGAATATACCGAGTATGTAAGGCAACAATGAAACGTAATAATAATAAGATACTATCTCAGGGAGAGATAAGAGTCAACTTATAACTTCTGACTTATCGCTGAGGGCCGTAACATATAGAATAAAACTCATCTCGTATAAATAAATAAAACTACAATACAATAGTTCTAGTTACCTCATTTTCGTGACGTTAACTGCCCAACTAATCAGTGGTAACTGCCCGACCGACCGACGCACGGTGGTAAATGTATGACTACCCAACCGGTGGTAAATAATAATATATAACTGCCCAACCGGTGGTAACTGTCCAACCGGCCGTAGCCCGGTGGTAAATGAAGATGCATGACTGCCCAACCGGCCGTAGCACGATGGTAAATGTATAACTGCCCAACCGGCCGTAGCACGATGGTAAATGTATAACTGTCCAACCGGCCGTAGCCTGGTGGTAAATGAAGATGAATGACTGCCCAACAACGATTTCCAACTCTCCAATGCTAAAATGGCTATTTTCAGCATTTACGATATCGATATACATAAACTCTAAAGGAACATGAAATTTCATAACTATATACACATGAAACTTGTACTTTACAATTTCAAAACACATGTACTACAAACTTTGCACCTTATACGTGAATTTCATGGCTTTAATTTTTTTTTTTGAAATACTTTAGTTATCAATCAAATTAGAATCTCTAGTTTTGATATCACTGTATGATTTTTATGTGACTTTAATTGCAACTATGTATTTGGTTCTCAATTTTGGACTTGTCGGTCAAGATAGCAATCGAAACTTCTTCACCAGCTAATTCGATTTTTTCTTAATTATTGCAGGTGCATGAAACATTATATAAAGCAAACACATTCTAAAGATAAGGCCAACCATAGGCATATCACATCTGGTAATCATCAAAATTCACAGGATATCGAAATAGAAATGCTTGAATATCACTTTATGGGGATAAATAATATAGACACCCTTAGCTGCTAAGAGTAAAACTACTTATGGAATAGCATTACGTTTACGTATCGTTAATTAGATCATACCAAAATAATAAAGAAGGAATAACCTTAACATACCTGTTTAAGATTAATAGACTGGAGATACCTTGACGACAACAATAGAATACTCCGTTAAAGATCTTGTGACAAAATTTTCAATCAAAGCTTTCTTTAATCCAAAGCCATACATCAAAAGTGCAAAATCACACCTACCACAGTAATAAAGAATTGGGAAGGAAAGCACTCCAGGTCTAAGCACGAAAAGCCATTCTGAATACAAACTTTTGTACCTATTGACCAAATCATTTACTTCTTTCTCATGTTTGGGTGCAATATTAGTTGCCACATCTCTCAATTCCTCTTCTAAGTGTGACGCCTAGGCACAACGTGAAGAGTCATTAAATTGAATTGGGGTGCTGCCACGTGGGGTGGGGTTGGATTTTAATATTATTTAATAATCAATTAATTAATAAGGTAATATCCTGCTACCCGGTAATTAACCAATTACCCGCATAATTAAGAATTGTCTCAAATTACTTAAAAATTTTACTTATTTTTAATACACTTTATACATCATACTATCACGGTCATATGGTACCTTGTATGGTACTAGTCCATAAATATCGAGTATCATTGCTCGGCCCGTATTTTATCCCAAATCGGCAACCTTCAACGAAACTCATTTTCTTTTATTTGCTTACCTTCTATCCGTCATATCACTTACTTATTGCTTGTTATAAATAGCATAAATGTTTATGATCTTAAAATAATCTCATTCCCAAGTCTAAGTCGCTTAACGCATGACGAAACTCTAACGCACGAAATGCGGGATGTAACAAATAGGATTGCAGGATCTATATGCGAAGCCTATCTTGCAAAGGAAACTGCCCATTTTTGTTCTTACTACTTCGACACGCATGTGCCATGTGCAAGAAATTGTCTCAATCAGCACAATATCGTGATTGAGAATGATCCATTATATCCACCAATGTCCATATTCAATTAACAAGGCCGAGGTTCTAAAGATCGATCAAAAAGGGGCCTAAGTAGTATGGAGTACAAATCAGCTTCAAATTATGTGCTCCTAAATTTTCCGGAAGTTCAACTCTTTCTTAAGTAAGTGTTGACATAAGATTAATTTACATGGACTACTATTTAATTTGGTTGATGAAACTAACAAAATTTTCAATGTGTCGCTTAGTGACTTCGTGAGTCAATTTGGCCATGATGTTGTATATTCTACATTTGAGGCATGGTTTAAAGAGTGTGTAAATGCATTTTACATACTTTCTCACATGTGAACATACATACTTGGTCACTTGTGAATATACCTGATTACTTGTGATTTATTTAACACTGCATGTAGGTCAAAAATCCAAACAACAGTGTCAACAATTTTTGAGAGATATATCTTGGGGACCTGCACCTACGGTTATAACTATGTCTAAGTATTTTATGAATGGTTACAAATTTCACACTGAGGAATGCTCCAAGTACATAAAAAAGGTAATAACAATGGGGTGTGTGTGAAAGGTGGCGAAGACAACCAGGATGGGAAAAATGATTATTATGGTATGATCAAAGACTATCTAGAATTATCATACTCAGGTTGGCCAAATAAGAAGATCATACTTTTCCAATCCAAGTGGTTTGACCCAACACCTAGAAGAGGTACAAATGTACACTCGCAATAATATAATTGAGGTTAATAAAAAGAGGGAGTATGATCGCTATGATCCTTTTATAATTGCAGAAAAAGTTAGGCAAGTATATTATGCTCCATATCCATTGCGGAGGGATAAGGCCGATTGGTTGGTTGTAATCAAAACTAAGCGTGTTGGTAGGGTAAAAGTTTAGAATGTGCTGGATGTTACTTACCAAAACGATACCTCAAGTGTTAACCAAATGGTGGATGATCGGTTAGAAAATAACTTGGAGCATCTTCAACGCATATTAGAAAAAGTTGATATGGATGAAATAACAATCATAGAAAATGAGGACGAAGAATCACCTGATGAAAATGAAATAAGTGAAGAGGAAGAATTTTCGGACGAGGAAGGATACTTCGAAGACGACTAGCATGTTAGTTTTTTCAAGCGCTCTCAACTTATATATTTATATTCTGAATTCTAATATTTTTTTTTTAATTTATGCAACTGACCGGTAGGGGTCATGGTAGGTCTATGAAGGAGAAGAGGCATATTTATCATGAGGATAATGCAACACCCTCACTTCCTTCTACTCCATACTTGCATCCCTCCGCTTCTGATGGCTAGAAGAAATCTTATAGGCGCACATCTTTTCCATCACATTCATCTACTCATCAGATTACCTACCTTTCACTCACCCAACAATATTCTTGTCATTTTCCACCATAGGGTTATACCTCGCTTCCTCCATATAATCCTGCATATAGTTACATGGGTCCACCGAGTCAGCAGTCACATGGACATATGGTGATAAGCCCGTCATTTGCTCCATTTGATTCACCACCAGTTGGATCGCATCCATCTATATTTCAGCCACCCAGATCACAGCAGTGGTCTGGATCGCAGTAAGGGTCTAGATCACATCCATCTTCATCAGAGACCCCATCTCTCTCTCCACGGAGTTCGTCTCCTAGCATTTCTAGACTTCGTCTTCGGGATAGTAGCGCTGAGCCAGATGTCTCCCCTTCTACGCACGCTTCAGATTTATCGATGGATGATGATCTAGAGGAAATGCGGTATGATCGTTATCATAGGATGATCATCGGGCCAGAGGCAATGGATACGATTTATTTATTACTTCTTTATTTTTATTGAATTATAATAGCTAGTCTTGTTTATTTAATGTAATTGCTATGTTGCAGGTTCATACATAATCATCAGAATACAAAGATAATCACAGAAGATATGGTTGGATGTTGTCGGTGTTCCTAAAAAGGGGATAACATACGACCTTCCAGAGAGATCGGCGCTACAAGGCTGGATTGCAAGGTATAGGGACTTCTGCCCAGAGCGAGGCAATTGATAGGTCGACTCTCTCGGCTATGGAGAAGAAGATCGCAAAGATGTTACCAGAGTTTGAAGAGACAAAGGCTAGAGAACAAAAGAGAGATAAAAAATTTGATACCCTTAAATTTATGCTAAAAAAAGGGACCAACAATTTAATGTCCTTCAAGGTTAGCTGGCCAATCTTCTT